ATATATATATATATATATATATATATATATATATATATATATATATATATATATATATATATATATATATATATATATATAACCACTAGTAGCTAATAGATGATGAAAACAACTGAGTTGATGAAATCAAAGACCAAGGTAAAAAAAAATTGTGCCTGGCAAAAGATGAAAGAGAGAGGTGAAACAAAGTGATAATTGATGACAAAAATAATTTTATTTACGTGCAGACGGATGAAGATAAAGGAAAAGGAACCAATTTTGACAAATGAAAGAAAGGAAAAATTATGCGTAATTATAAATTTTTTGAGTATATTAAGCTATCGTTGAGAAATTCGTCATTCACGGCTTCGAAGAGTAAATTGCACTTTGTTTTTAATTGAAAAAGTATTTGAATGACCATTTCTTTTTATAAGAATTGATAATTAATTAGATGGTGCAGTGGATTAATTACTGAATGCCATAATTATAAGTAAGCTTTTGTATTTTAAGTCTTTTTTTTTTGAAAGTGTCTAAAAAATAATTTAATTTTAAGCATTTACTTTTAAGTTAAAAAGTATGAAAATAAGTCAAAAATCAAAAGTTAAATACGATCAACTTATAACTGATTAGCTTATAAGTTATATAAAAAAAATCAATCTAAACATCTCCAAAGTTATGCCATTTTTAACTATGAAGAATAATACTACTAGACTATAATTTTTGTGGCAACATACTTTTGAGTTTATTTTGGATTCAAGTGAAACTAAAGTTCTCATAAAATCTAAAACTTGTTAAATTGTTCACATTTTAAGCACCATATCTCATGTATTTCACAAGTTCAATTACTCATTGCATACAAAGCATGACAAGATCACAAGTTTTTTACTTTCTTCATACCTTTAATCATGTCATATAAGGACAAGCCATTTACCTTTTAAAAGATGTGTGTATTTTAGAAACTTAGCACATATAATCTATATTCAAAGTATTCAAACTTGGCTTATTTTTTCTAAACTTTCAATGTTATATACCTTCTAGGGCATTTCTAACTATATGATGCCAAGGAAGAATCTACTTCTAGCTTCTTTATCTTCTTTTGCTATAGTTATCTTCATCTTCTTTATATCATTTACTATCCACTCGTTAACCACTTCCTTAACCAATATCATTTTATTACAACAAGCGCCACAGATAGTAAACACGCAGTTCACCCTTTTGCTAGGTATTTTCACACGACCAGGAAACTTCGATAGACGACATTTCCTTCGTCTTGTATATGGAATACAATCCACCCCCATAGCTCGTATCGATGTAAAGTTCGTTTTCTGCAATATCACCAACAGAGAAGAAAGAACTTTTGTGGCTTTAGAAATCATGCGTTTTAATGACATTATTGTCCTCAATTGCAGAGAGAACATGAATAGTGGCAAAACTTATACTTACTTTTCTACTCTTCCTCAAATACTCCCCACACGTTATGACTATGTCATGAAGGCTGATGATGATGTTTATTTGAGGCTTGAACCGTTAGCATCATCACTTCAATCACTACCTAGAGTTGATCTATATTATGGCTTTGTTATACCTTGCCCTAGTATGAATCCCTTTGTTCATTATATGTCCGGGATGGGATTTGTTTTATCGTGGGATCTGGTGGAATGGATAAGAAGATCGAATATTCCCGCGAATAATACGTACGGACCAGAAGATAAATTGGTTGGCCAATGGCTTAATATGGGAAATAAAGCAAAAAATAGATTTTCAAACAAGCCAAAGATGTATGATTATCCTGGAACTAATGGAAAATGTTCACATGAACTTATTCCAGATACAATAGCCGTTCATCGACTTAAAAAGTGGGAGCAATGGATAAATGTTCTAAGATTTTTTAATGTGACTAAACAACTTCAGCCATCCAGTCTTTATAGTATATCATTTGATTAATTAATATAATTCAATTTTTTTACTTTTTGCTTATAATGTTATTCTTAACTATGATCAAAGACGTTGCAAGATAAATTATTAATCTCCCACCTCGTTTTACGTGTTATTACAATATTTTTTGTTTTTCTTTTTATTTACAATTTCATAGTTTAATATGAAATAGCATATAAATTGTAATTTTTATCGCGTTATTTTTAACTATATATTCCAGGTGACTTAAATATATTATACATCGTTGGTACACATATAAAACTCAAGCTCTTCTTATAAGGATTTTTTAATAATTGTGAAAACATAAACAATCTAACATTTAGAAATCTTATTAATTATTCAGGATCGTAGAACTATATGATTTTCACATATATTTAACACTATGATATTTCAGTCAAGAATACATATCCGAATCTGTCATTATAATTTTGACTTGATTGAGCGGAAGTCTTTTTTTTTAGGTAATTTAGAAGTTTTTTCTCTCTCTTGTCTTATACTTTATGTATAATTTTGATGGATAAGACTATATCTTTATGTTAAAGAGATGACCCTTTAAATAGAGTGCGTTTTTACCATCATTCCCACCTTTCTATCATGGTGAGTAGTTGAGATAATGGATGGTTGGAAGAGGTAATGGGTAAAGTAGAAGACTTAATGGGTAGTTGAAGTAACTTCTCCACTTCTCCACTTATCCAATTAGAATTAGAATTTAGTTAGTAATTAAATATTAAATCAAAATAATATTAATGTGAGTGGATCATAAAACTAACATTCTCCCACTTGACACACGTAACATCATTTACTTAATGATTTAGTAAACATTTCAATTATAATGTGCATGCTAAATTCAACATTATTTGTTGTTATTAAGTAAATCAACTAATATGAGTCATGGCAGTTGTATACCATTTTATTTGGCATAGTCCCTTCCATGCACTACAATATTAATCTATTGCCTAACACAACATTTCAATACATAATGGGTCCACCATAATGCTTAGAATATCTTTATCTATAACAAAACTTGTCATCATCATTCTCAACATAACGTATACAAGAGAAAACAGGTAATAACAGAAATATATAGTTGAGCTTAAAGTGTCAATTACATAAACATAATATAATCTTTACATAAAGTCATTTATCACTATTAATAAGACCCATTCTTTCAACATGTTCAACAAATGTTTTGGGCGGTAATCCTTTCGTCAAAGGATTAGTAATCATAAATTTGGTGCTAATATGTTCAATTGTCACTTTATGTTTCTGGACTTCTTCCTTAACTGAAAAGTATTTCAATTCCATATGTTTGACACCCTTAAAATACTTATCAATTTTAGAGAAGAAGACTGTTGCAGTATCATCACAATAAATTTTCAGCGGTTTGGAAATACTGTTGACTAGTCCAAGTTTTGAAATAAAGTTTCACAGCCAATTAGTTTGAACTGTGGCCTCAAAGCATGCCACAAACTCAACTTCCATAGTGGATGCAACTATAATAGACTGCTTCACAATTTTTCATGATATTGCTCCTCCGGCTAATAGGAACAAATACCCAAATATGGATTTTTGTGTATCCACACAACCAGCATAATCTGAATCTGAATATTCAATCACATCAAGATGATTAGATCTTCTATAAGTGAGCATATGATCTTTAGTTCCTTGCAGGTATCACAACACTTTCTTCGCAACTGTTCATTGATTCATTCCTGGATTACTTTGATAACTACCCAACATTCCGATAGCGAAACTAATGTCTGGTCTAGTACATGTTTTGACATACATCCAGACTCCCGAATATTGATGCATAAGGAATATCATTCATTTGCTTACGTTCCAATTCATTTTTTGGACATTGATTGAGACTAAATTTATCTCCTTTCTGAATTGGAACGGGACTTGATGAGCATTTTTCCGTTCGAAATCTCTCTAACACTTTATTAATATAGGCTTTCTGAGACAAACCTAATAATCCTAGTAATCTATTTCGAAATATTTCTATTCTAATCATACAAGATGCCTCTCCCATATCTTTCATTTCAAAATTGTTAGATAAATATATCTTGGTATCATGCAACAAACCAAGATCATTAGTAGCAAGCAAGATGTCATCAACATACAGGACTAACATAATAAACTTACTCCCACTAACCTTCAGATATATACACCGATCAATAGTGTTTTCCTTAAAATCCAAAAGTGACAATAGTTTCATTAAACTTAAGATACAATTGTCGAGAAGCTTGTTTAAGTCCGTATAATGACTTCTTAAGTTTACACCATGTTTTCTTTTCCTTTACAAGTGAACCCTTCATGTTGATTCATATAAACTTCTTCCTCCAAATTTTCATTTAGAAAAGTTGTTTTCACATTCATTTGACGTAGCTCAAAATCATAATAAGCTACTAAAGCCATTATCATTCTGAGTGAATCTTTTCTAGAAACAGGTGAAAATATTTCTTTATAGTCGATGCCATCCTTTTGAGTGAAACCTTTCGTAAAAAGTCTGGCCTTGTGACGTTCATTTACACCCAAGTGTTTTGTAACCTTCTGGTAATTCAATAAAGTCACATACTTCATTTTGTTCCATAGATTTCAACTCATCTTTCATAGTATTTATCCATCTATCAGAAGTATTACTTTCAATAGATTGTGAAAATGAAACTAGATCATTATCATTTTCTAAGTCGATTTCTGCCTCGTGTAAATATGTCAAATAGTCATCAGAAATAGCAGGTCTCTTTTGTCTTTGAGATTTTCTTAATGCTACTTCTTGTGGTACATCTACTGCAGGTTCATTAATTATTGCTTCATTGAGATTTACAGGAGCATCAATTTGTTGTTCTTGTTGATTGTTAGGTTGTGCAACAACTTTAGGAACAACATCTTTAAAAGAAGTAAAAGGTAGGGAAACCCTCAGCCTAACTTCTTCAATTTCCACTTTACGTGGTTCTTCACTCCCACTAACTTCACCATTCTCAATGAACCTAGCATTTTCATTTTCAACTATTCTTGTACTGTGATTAGGACAATAAAATCTATACCCTTTTGATTTTTCTAGATAACCAATGAAGAAATCACTGATTGTTCTTCAATCCAATTTCTTTTCTTGTGAGTTATAAACTCTAACTTCTGCCAGGCAACTCCAAACATGAAGGTGCCTTAAACTAGATATTCCACCAGTTCATAGTTCAAAAGTAGTCTTTGGGATTTCTTTACTAGGAACCCTATTAAGTAAGTAAATGATAATCCTTAAAGCATACATCCACAATGAAAAAGGAATAGATGAATTACTTAACATACTCCTAATCATGTCATTAATGTACGATTACGCCTTTCTGCTACACCATTTTGTGTGCTTCTTGTGGCTCATTTCTTTGTGTGTCTTGTTTGTTTTCCTTTAATACAACACAAATGTTAAGGTCTATAAAATCCAAATTTGAAAGAATTCATTCTCAACTAATCTTTTCAATCTTTCTTTGGATATGTGACCTAAACGTTTGTGCCACAAGAAAGCAGACAGTTCATTCACCAAACTTCGTTTGGTTCCAATATTATGATGCAGAGTTAAGAGTGTTTCGGCAAATAGATTATCAAGATTCATTTTGTATAAGTAATCGCAAAGAGTAATAGTACCACTGAGATAATTATGTTTAAACAAACTAAAACATTCATTACCGAAATTAAAAGAGTATCATGTCTTATCCATCTTAGAGAAAGAAATTAAATTTCTCGAAAGAGAATGTACATAACAAGTTTCATGTAAATCTAAGTGGCGCCCAACATGAAGGAACAAACGGTAACTTCCTATAGCTTTAACTAGAGCTTTCACTCTATTCCCCACATACACATATCTTTCATTTTGGTTTATGATTTGTGTCGTATTAGAAACATGAACAGTAATGTACCAAAATCAATCCACCAAGTATTATAAGGAATTTCAGTTAAATTTGATTCGAGACATGTAAAATCACTAGGCTTACCTTACTTCTCGAGCCATACCTTAAATTTCAGGCAATCTTTCTGAAAGTGTCCAAAATTTTCACAGAAATGACACTTATCATTCTTATGTTCCTTCTTATATACTTGAGAGAAGGATTTATTAACATTATGGTACCTCTGTTTTTCTTTAGCATGTTTCTTTCCTTTCTTTTCAACTCCTTGATGACTTACAAGGTTAATGGAGTGGGTTCTTTGATTATTGAGCCTTACTTCCTCCTGAACCAACATTCCGTGCAATTCATGCACGTTTCATTTGTCTTTCATGGTGTTGTAGTTCATTTGAAAAGAGTCACACTCAGACGGTAATGAGTTGATAATAAATTGTACAAGGAAATTTTGTTCCACTTCCATTCCCAAAGACTTAAGTCTTGCTGCTACGTTTGTCATTTTGATGACATGCTCATGCATGGTACGTGAACCATCAAACTTCATGGTGGTCAAATTACCCATTAGTGTCCCAGCAAGAGACTTATTAGCAGTTTGAGAGGATCCTTCCACGGTCAGAAAATCTTTTGCATTTTCAATTTTGGGAAGAGTAATCTTAATGTTGCTCGCAATATTCATTCACATAAACATTATGCCTAATCTGTTTGATCAATCCCAGTACTTATAATGAAACCTTTTTTCAATACTGCTAATTTCAGTAATAGCAATTGGCTTCTCAGTGTAAAGTGCAACATCAAGATCTAAAACTCCGAGATGGAATTTGATCTGTTCGCACCAATCTAAGAAGTTAAGACCGTTAAAGGTCGTAACAGAGGCAGAGTGCGAATGAAGAGCAAATGTTGCAAATATAATATACTCATTTGTTAATACTTTGAGTTATGAATTTTAACTTACTATCAAATTCAAAATTATTTATAAATTCTTAAATATATATTGATGTCCTCCTTTGGGCGAAACATCAAAATACAACTTTAGACATAATGATGCTTACATGTGAATTTAACGTAATTCAATAATTTTAACTGTTTCAATCAATAATAATTTTTGTCTTTGGATAAATAAATAAAACAACGACACATCTAAATTATCTCATTAATGTTCAATGGTTATAAAATGAAACAATCAACCTTTGGGTGATCCCTAAATA